AAGGGTTAATGGGTCTGACCCATTACTTATTCTTTTATTATAAATACTCATGTAATTGTAAACCTAATTATGTAAATGAGAATTATCATATAGTATAATCGTGTATGTAGGTCACTTTGACTAAACCTCATAAATTTCTTGTGTTCTTATTATTTACTTTCGTCTTATATTATATTTGTATTTCCAACATTTATTGTTAGATCTAATGACTGAATTAAAAATTGGGAAAGAAAATAACTAATTAGATCTAAAACAAGCCATTAAACAATGTAATGGGAATATGTCATTTAAATGCCAATAACACTAACCAATAACTAGATCATCTAAAAACAATGACGAGATATATTTGATCAACTTGTCTAATGCCCATCTCATGGTTCCATACATACGTAGTTTTCGTGAAATATTCTAAAGACTAGTTCATCTAGTCTAATTTGGAAATCATACAGAGAATTATGCTTCTCAATTTGATATATTTTGAAAAATAATTTAATAATTTCTAAATATTTTAAACAAAAAATCACTTTTGTATGATGATTGTTACCATATTCCTATGCTAAATGGTTTGTTTTTATCATTGTTAATGGAAATTTTATACTTACGATTATTATGATTTTATATCAGTAAAAAACTGAAAATAACTTAAAAACAGGACAAGTAAGAAATAAATAAATAAATAGGTCTAACTAGTAAAAATAACATGCAGTATATCACGAGCTACACCTTAAAATTTACTCTATTTCTAAAAAAACATAAAAACTAAGCAAAACCTTGCCACACAGAGTTCTGAAGGATTTTTATAAAAGTTATAACAAGATGACACAAAATAAGATATTACTTTTATAACTCATGAACAAAAAAACATAAAATATTTTTCCACCGTCTGAATTTCTCAAATTGTGAATAAATATTTTTATTTCAAATTTTCCTCAAGTTAAGCAGAATAAGAAAACAACTATATGACACGTCATCAAAATATTATTTCGGACACATTAATATTGTTTAATAACATTTCACCAATTTGATTAAAGAAACGAAATTGATTCATTAAAGAAAAAAAAATTAACCTGAGAAAAAAAAATCATAAAATGAAACTAAACATAATCGAAAACTATAAAACTTATCAATTTTTATATAAGAAAAATAAATTTATGAGTATGAAATATGATAAGTATGAAATGATAATATGTAAATAATAGTATATCTTATGAGTATTTGTTAGAAATTAATTTCAATCCTAGCTTTTATATATGTTCAATTTTATATTTTATTAGTTTATAACGCAAATAATGGAAAACTCTTCTATATAAGAGTATACATAACTTTGATTTAAAGATATAAAAAAATATAGAGCTCAAGTTTATATACAGGATAATACCAAAAATAATATTATATTGAGTGTTATACACGTATATAAAAGATAGAGAACGAAAAGAATGAGTGAGACATATTTATCTGATATTGTGACGGTAAAAGATTGAGATTGAACGATGGAAGCACTGAACTTCTAAACACTAGCACAAAGATGAATAACCTCAACTTTCTCTTTCGCATAACTTCTGAATGAATGTTGGTGTGTTGTGTTTAGTGGACAAAAGTTTGAATCTTTTATTCAAAGACGTGGCATACATAGTGATGAATTAGACCAAACAATTGGGCCGATTTTGATAGAATATATTTTAAATAAATATTTTAAGTTAAATTTAAAAAAAAACATATTTAACTTTTATATTTGATAGAATAGATTTTGATAAATAAAACTATTTTGATGACTTGTATATTTTGTGTTACGTAATCTTAAAATTACTTTCTTAGGTTTTAGCCCTTAACATATTGTAATATGTATTTTGAATTATTTATACAATATTATTTATTTTAACTATTATAAAATTTATTTCATTATTTTAATATTAAATTTATGAAATGAATTACTATGACAATAATAATTAAGAAAATGATAACACTAATATACAATTGTATCAATACAGTAATTAAATTAATGAAATTAAAACATAATGTTTACTTAAATATATATCATTTATATTTTAGTTTAAGCAAAAATTGAATGAGTTATATAGTCTCGACTCGACCCCTTGTGATTAGGGATGACAAAACAGGCTAGGTCCGTGGCCGGCTCGCCAGACCCACCATAATATGGTGGGACGGGTTGGTGTTTTCGACCCACCAACCCGCGGGCTAACCCGCGGGACGGGCAAGCTAGTCCGCGGCCCGCCTAATTAATAAAAAAATATTTTTTTATTGTAATAAAATTAATTATAGAGATAATATATAAAGTTAAAAATTTTAAAAAGAGAATTAAAAAAATTTCACTTTAAAATATTCTTCTTACTCGAAACATAACATTCTATCTTGTTCTCCTTGTTCATCCTAAACATTGATTATTTTTATCCTTATGACTTGAATTAAAGGTGTAAGAATTACTCAACTAAGAATAATGTGAAGTTTTATTAAATAAAAAAATATAGGTATTTAAATTTTTCAATATAAAAAATATAAAATTTATAAGTGTTAACATTATATATATATATATATATATATATATATATTTGTTATTATTTATTATTATGTAAATTTTATTATTGTTCTAAATTATAATTTCTTAAAACAATGTATTGATTTATATTATTAAATTGAAATAATATATATATTGAATTATTCACAAATAAATAATAATCTTATTATTAAATTTATTTTAAAAAATAAATTATTTTTTCTAAATTATGACTAGCTAGCTTGATCAATCCACCCTTGATCGGACTGGATCAAGATATACAGATCATTCACGACTATAACAGACCAACTCTCCCTATCTTACTTTTGACGGATCAAAAATGACATGGACCAAAACGGGACAGGCTTATCCGTTTTACCGTACAAGATTACACAAAAAGGTGTGATGTTTTGGATTCATATAAATCTGAATAATTTAAGTTAGGCATGTATATATTATTTATTTATTTATAAATAAAATATTAATGGATAGATTCAATGTTGTGTTGTGTTATTTTATAGCGCATGCCGAGGTTGGTGATGTTTTGAAGATGTCTCTCATCTCATCATGGATCTGCACTCATTAAAGTATTCAAAAATGATGATGCTACTTCTATTTCCCATGGTGGAATTCAATTATAATAATAATAATAAAAAAAAAACCCTGGTTTTGTTTTGACCATTGCTAAAGCATTTAGTCATCTTTGACCGCGGAAATAGAAAATATTTTAAAACAAAATTATTGCATTTCGAAGTTGCAAATAAAATTGAATCCAAAATATGTTAACTTGTTTGAATCTCCAAGACCTATTATTTGGTCCATGCCTCGCCTCTCATATCACCAATTAAGAGGCCTGGAAACGATTCCCGGTATGATTGCTGAGGCAAGGATGAAGATTACCTGACCAGTTTTCGTCGTTTTGTGGCTGTCTCTTCCCATGCCCCAATCCAATTCTTCACTGTCACTTTCCTAGATCCATAATCACACAACAAATAAAAAATAAAAAAATGCAAACTAATTTATTTTATATCTTTAAAAAGACAAAAATTAAATTAACTGAATATTTTTTTTAATATGAACAGATATTTTTTAATAACACAATTCTATCCATGTCAGAGAACATCATTATAATTTATACAACTATACCAATTATTAATCTGAATCAACTCCATGCTAAATTAACTAATAAGCATACATTATTACAAAGATTTGTTTGCCAATTATTGATGTAATATGTCAACATTTTTTATGAAATATATTTTAATTTTTATATATTAGTCATGTAAAAGTTTTATATATTCTAATCACTTTTTTAAAATTTGTTTTCAGTTTTTTAATTGATTTATTTTTTTAATACCCATATAATCAATATTAGAAAACAAACTTTATTTTGTTTTGGAATAAGATATTTTAGTTCGCCTTTCAAAATAATTAAATTATTATTATTTTTCTCTAATAATTATCTCTGTATATTTTCTTGATTAAATGAGTATTAATATGTTACGAGTGTGTAAAAGTTTTAATATGTGCGTCAATCCCTTTTCACAGTTCGGATTAAATTGGGTTAAAAAAATTTAAATTTTTTAAATAATAAATTCAATCGAGTCTAGTTTCTTGAATTTGTGAATTACATAGATTAGAATAAAATTGATAGTAAATTGACCCAACCTGTTATTTTTTTAATATATTTTTTTTATATATGTGTTAAAATAAATTTATTAAAAAAAATTAACGAGTGAATCAATTTAATTTACTAAAAAATTCATATACTTAACTCATTTATTTTAATAATTTAAAAATAAAAATAATTAAAATAAAGACACATATTTAATTCACCTAATCCTGTGATGATGACTCCATTCGAATTATAAGGTTTTAAAAATAAGCGGATCGAACGGAACTAATTTTAATAAAACTTATTAAGTCACTAACAAATTATGCAAATGATATTTTAAGTATTATGTTATGAAAAAATTATATGCATTTACAAAAATACAAAAATACTTTTAATATTTAGTATATCATGATTAATATAACTTTTTATGTTAATATTATATGTTTTGTTTTGATGAAGATAATGTGTCTGTGAATGCAATAATATCATTAATTAAATTTAAATAGTCTCCAAGTATTTTTGAGGAAACATTATTATTATTATTATTATTATTATTATTATTATTGTGATTATAAATGCATTGTTTATGCAAATTAAATAATAAATTATTAAAAAGGGGTGAAATTAACTAAGAGAGAAAGAAAGTTGAAGTAGGTGAAATTGTGGTGTTGTGAGAAGCAATCAAGCGCAACAGTGTGTAGACCACAGTTTACTTGTCTCGCGGCAACATTGTCCGAGTCTGTTGCTTGAGACACCTCTTTCTTCTCTTTCTAAATCTCTCTATACATTTTAACAAACGTCGCTCCTGCTAAACTCTAATCACTTGCTTTGTGTGCGCTCGAACAAACAAACACACTCACTACACTCGTAAAAATGGAGCGGAAGCAAGGGTTCTTCTCCGCGCTCAAAGACGAGGTGGTTCGTGGTCTGTCGCCGGCGCGGTCACGGGCCAAGAGCCCGGCGAGGAGCGCATCGCCGATGTCCTCGCTGCTGAGGCGGCGCCGGAAGCAGCACGCGCCTCCGCCGGAGCTCTTCATTGCGAGATCGGGCAGCCTGAGACCCGCGGAGGCTCTCTCGCCGCTGAAGGAAGGACCCGACGGAACCGACGGCCTCGACTCCACTCGCGGAGAGGGAAGGTGGGGCCAGTGGATGAAGGGACCACTCGCGAGAGCACCCTCTATTTCGTCTTCCTCCTCGTCCTCTTCCTCTTCCTCGTGCAAAAAGTCCGATCTGAGGTTGCTGCTTGGCGTGTTGGGTGCTCCACTCGCTCCCGTGCACGTTTGCACAACGGACCCCTTCCCTCACCTCAGCATCAAAGACATCCCCATTGTTAGTCCCTCTTTTCACGCAATTTTTACTTTTCTCGTTTTGTTATATTCACAGATCAATAGTCTTAGGTTTATGACTGTTTCCATAACCTTAGTTTTTATCAATTCTAAGTTCTATTGTCAGTTTTTCAAATGTTCGGTCACATTTGGAAAATTCAACCGAAAATGTGTTTGAAGTGGAAGAGTATAATATAGCTGTTGATCTTGCTTGTGATGGTTTCTTAAGATAAGGTGGTTTTGTTGCAGGAAACTTCTTCTGCTCAGTACATATTGCAGCAGTACATTGCTGCTTCCGGGGGGCAGAAGCTTCAGAATTCGATTAACAATGCTTATGCCATGGGGAAGGTGAGGATGATAGCTTCTGAGTTTGAGACGGCGAACAAGGTCACTCGCAGCCGTAACTCCTCCAAGGCCGCCGAATCTGGCGGGTTTGTCTTGTGGCAGATGAACCCGGACATGTGGTATGTTGAGCTTGCTCTTGGTGGGAGCAAGGTTCATGCCGGTTGCAATGGGAGACTAGTGTGGCGGCACACACCCTGGCTCGGTGCACATGCTGCCAAAGGGCCGGTTCGGCCTTTGCGACGCGCCCTTCAGGTAAAGTTACCTGGCTTGTGACAAATATGCTTGGCTGTAACTGTACCACACCAGGGTACTGCTTAGATAAGTTCATCTTTAGGTACTTGTAGGAGAACAGAATAAGAAGGTAAAATGAATTGAGTTTGTTCCATCTAATATTAATATGAGATATACACTTAACTTCTGTTGAAGTTAAAGATCTGTCATCTAATTTCTACAAAATTTTAACTGCGTAAGTTGATTTTATTTTATGAGACAACTCATTTCATTTTATGTTATTTTCTTCTTTTCCTAGTGTTTACCAAAAACTTTGTCTAAATGGGACCTGGGTTTATTTACATTTCTGAGTACTTTTGTGTCTGCAGGGCCTTGACCCACGAACGACTGCAAGTATGTTTATCAATGCAAGATGCATTGGGGAGAAGAAGATAAACGAAGAGGATTGTTTCATCCTCAAGCTTTGTGCAGACCCTTCAACATTAAAAGCCAGGAGTGAGGGTCCTGCGGAGATCATAAGGCATGTTTTATTTGGGTACTTTAGCCAGAAAACGGGACTTCTTGTACACTTGGAGGACTCCCATTTGACCCGCATTCAGAACAATGGTGGTGATGCAGTATATTGGGAGACCACTATAAATTCCTTTCTTGATGATTACAGGCCTGTTGAGGGGATAATGATTGCTCACTCAGGTCGTTCTGTAGTGACGCTGTTCAGGTTTGGGGAAACTGCTATGAGCCACACAAAAACCAGGATGGAAGAAGCTTGGACGATTGAGGAGGTTGCATTCAATGTCCCTGGTCTCTCCTTGGACTGTTTCATTCCGCCATCTGAGCTACGGTTTGCTTCCATGAGTGAAGCCTGTGAGCTTCCCCAAGGTCAGAGGGTGAAGACTGCCGTCGCAGCAGCTGCATACCATGCCAAAGTTGCTCAACTACAAAAATCGCATGAAGGAAACACTAATAACATTAACTGGACAGTGGATGTTTAGCTAAGAGGAAGTTCTGGATTAGCCTAGGCGTCTAGTTTTTATACCTTTTGTGGACTATCTGACAAAGTACTGCAGGTATATGCTAAGAATGCAGCAGGGTTGTCAAGAGTATTCTGCTGTGGGTCATTGCCACATCAAATTTGTAAATAGAAATGATCAGTCACGGATCCTGAAAAATGAATTTCTATACTCTGGTTTTTGGGTGGATGATTATGTGCATCAAGGTTTGTTTTTCCCACTTTCTTTCCATCAGTGTGAAATTGGAATCTGCTGATCATTTTATAAGCTATATAATTCCTGTAGAGTTTTTTTTCTTGTGAAAGCATTAACCATTATGCTTGGAAATCACAGTTATAACCTTGATTTCGTCACTGAAAAGTTTTGGCTTTGAGTTTCAAGGGCCAGCACTTTGTGAGGTTTAATATTGATATTGCTGGTGGTATCCGTAAGGAAATTTCTCCCATCTTTGAAGGAAACCATATATATCATTGAAGAACATTAAATGTGTTTAGTGCTGGTTGTTGTTATGAATTGTAAACCAAGTAGCCAGAGTAAGTAGAAGCTAAATTATTCCTAGATCTAAATTTGTATGCTTTTAAGGACATATATCTATTGACAATTTATCACAAGCTTGTATCAATATTTTAATTGTCACTGTGAGAAATTTGTCGAGATTTCCTATATTATCCTAACTGTTCTTTTCTATTTGGAATAGAAATTTTATCGTATATTTTGATATAATGTGCATCATAAATACCTTGGATACGGATATGGTTGAGATGTTCACGTATCGCTTTCAGGATATTTGCATTTGGATAATTTTTCTTTGGTTTGGTTATTCTAAATCTGTTTTTCTCGTGGAAACCTTTTGTGGGAAACTTGTATTCTTGAGAATGCTTTTTCCTTATTGGTTGAAATTTATTATGACTCACCAAATTTTTGGTGCCATCCCTTGTTTATGAAGAGTGTTTGGTAAATTGCCTTTTGGAAACCAAGGGAGAGTAGATTTTAAGTTCAAAGAAATATGTTCTTCTAATATGATTTTAGGTAAAATAAATAGAATGACAATTTAACAGTTAATTAATTTTTAAAAACTTAGAAAATTATTATGAAATAAGATATTAAGATACATATATGGTCTTATGAAATTAGACATATATAAAAGAAAGAATAGATATTTATATTTCATGTAATTTGAGATATTAAATAATATAACTAAAAAATTACAAACATTTAAATTATATAAATTATACTAAAGATTCATAAAAACTAAAAAAATAATGATAATATATAATACTCTTTGTTGTCTAAAAAAGTAGGAAAATCTTATTCAGAAAAGTCTTGGAATAAAAAGAGGATCATTCTTCAATTAAATTTGCTCATTTTTTTTCTTAATATAAATCATCATCTTTGACATCTTTGAGATGACTAATTATAATTTTATATACCTATTGATCAAATATTTTTCTTGGTAAAGATTTTGTAAATAATCTACTAAAATTTCACATGAAAGAATATTCTGAATTTTTATATCCTATTTTTTTTAAGATTATGGGTAAAGAAGAATTTTGAAAATATATATTTTGTTTTGTCTCCTTTAATATATCATTATTTCAATTGAGCAAAGTATCCATTATTATTTTTTATATAATCATTGGTGTTATAGACAACTAGTTTCTTTCCCATATTAAATTACTGATTTCAACCAATTACATTCATGACTAACCTCATCTAATTCTAAAACTGTTATATAATTTGATAACGTAAATGTTATGATTTGTTTCATGCCATGAAATCACAATGTCACTACTTATAAACAAATATCCTATTTGTGGATAGATAACTTGCATTTTCATAATCTTTTAAATTTGATTTTTAAATATTTGAATAGAACAAAGGACTTAAGATAACAAAATATATTTTATTTCAGCGCAACATTTTTTGTAGGTCAATAACTATGTCTTGCTAATAAATTTATAGTAAATGTTATATTAGGTTGAATATTTAACAAAATATATTAGTGCTCATATAACATTAAGATATGATATTTTAAGACCAAAAGATTCTATTTTTCTCTTGAGGTTTAAAAGGATTTGTATCTACCTCTAAAAACCTTATAATCATTGAAATACATAATGAATATGATTTATTTATATATAATCTTTTAAGTACATTTGTTATATAAGCTTTCTAACATACAAAGATACCTTTATTTAAATACTTAATTTGTAATCTCAAACAAAATTTTGTCATTCAAAAATCTTTTATCTCAAATTATTTCTTTAAATAATCAATTGTCTTTATAAGTTCTTTAGAAAGCAAACTCAATGTATGATCTTTTCATATAAATACAAGAACAAATGAGATCATTTTTATACATTTTTTTTTAATAAACACTCATTGAGACTATTATATCACTTGCATCCAAATTGCTTTAATCCATAAAAGATTGTAATAATACCTATTAGATGTAAATTCAAATATTCTTTTTTCATAAGTTACAAATAATTCAAATTTCAATACTAGGTGTAAAACAAAATTGTAAAAATAATCATTTGTGTTTTATATCTCAAAACTTCACCACTTTCATTACACCTTTGCACAAAAATTCACCTATAACTAATTGATTTAGTACCTTTATGTGTATGAATTATTAATCCAAAGTTCTTTTTGCTCATCAAGGGAGTCTAATTATCTTTGATGGTATATTTACATTTTGTCTAATCATTCATTTAATGTTATATTATATGTAAAAAAATATATTATCAATATTAATTCTACTTTGGTTACATATTATTTTATTTGATATAATTAATTGAGATATCTTTGTAATATTATGATGTGCCTAAGTTTTTTTGGAACTAATATATTATTTATATTAAATGAATCTTTTGGGGTTTGTATCATGAAGGTTAATCTTGTCATTTAATTCAATTTTCTTATTCTATGATTCTTATTTTTTGAACAAATGAGTAATCATACTTATAATGTGTTTAAGACTCATTTGTAATTAGAATACCCAAGCATAACTGGAACATTGATATTTTAATTTAATAAATACATTTGATATTTGATTGACTAAGTTTTGTAAATAAATTATTTTTCTAATATCTAGTTCATATTTTATCATGAAGATCAATTTGAGATAATGATAATTCATTCCAATTAATATATTTTTTCAAACTGTTTATTAACTCCTTAACATTAAAAAACTTTATTCATCAAACTCAAATTAAATCGTAAAAGAACCTTTGATCAATTGTTCAAAATATTTTATTATTAATGAAATTTATATCTACCATTTATTATGAATCTTATGTGAGAAACAATTCAAATTTACTTTATAGTGTAAGTAGAACATATACAACACACCTTAAAAAAATCTTTAAAAGGGACATACTTGATTGTGGATCTAAAATCAATTGTAAATCAAGAGTATCTTAGATAACTTATTAGTATGATGTAAATTTGTACTAGTGTATTTATAATTGTATAACACCAACTACTTTTGCAATACCTTAATATGATTTTGCAAGATTTTGTTTTTTTTTTTTTTGAAAAGTTACAAAATATTCAACATAAATCTCAATTAACACACCATACTCATTAAAAATATAAAATGTAATTTCAATGTCATTATCCAAGAAAGTTTCCTTAATTTAAAAATGAGCACTTATCAAATTAATTGAGCTTACAAATAGATAATATCGTTATTTCTTTTATCTATTTCTTCATTTATTTTCTAATTTTTTTCATCTCTTTAATTATTTTTTGTTATTCAATTTTATATATCATTGTTTAGGGATGGAATAGCCCGCCAACCTACCGAAAAAATGACGTGGACATAGGGATAACAATTAAATTAGTACTCGTGGGGACCGACTCGTCCCCGCTCCAAGTTTGGCGGGGAAAATTCGAGTTGATCGGGGTGGAGGCGGGTTTAGGTTTTCTCCACTTTAAAAAGACGGGGATGAGGATGAGTAATGCAATCCCAAACCCGTCCTCGTTCCCGCCTTGACTTTATATTTAAATTTAAATTTTAAAATATTAATATTTTTAAAGTACTTTCTTTTCTTTTTCTATTACATATAAGGTCAATTTTTTATATTTTACCATTTTTTACTTTTCTTCTACCCACTTTTTAATTTTTTTGTCTTTTTTAATCTTTTATATCAATTAGTTTATTACATTATTCTCTTCCTCTTACTTTTCAGTTTTTTCATATTACCTTAATCTCTCCAATCAATTTGTTTTTTTCAATCTTTTTAACCAATTTGATGAACACTTTTTTCTTATTTATCTTTTTCTAAATATTTTACATAAATCTTAGTAATAACTAATATTATTTTATTTATAATTTATATTTATTAGGTTTTATTATGTTATATTTTTTGGATCTTATTATTCTTATTTGTCATATATAAGTTTTATCTTAATAAAATAGTTATATTTTAAAAGATTAAAAAGAATTGATAATTTAAATTTTTATTACTTCAAACTAATTGAATAAGAATTAACTTATTAAACATTTCCTTATAAACTATATATTTCATATTTTTAAATGACAACTTAAAAATAAATTAACTTTATATATATATATATATATATATATATATATAATCAAATGTTTGAATAATAATTATAATAATAATAATAATAATAATAATTCAAATGTTTGAATACAATACTATAATAATAATAATAATAATAATAATAATAATAATAATAATAATAATAATAATGTTATAAATATCTCTCTATATATATATATAAATAAAAAAAGATTAAATATTTCTTTTACATACATATTTTAATATAAATATAATAAATTAAAATATATATTTAATTAAAAATAATTACAAATGGTAAAATTATAAATATTTATTTATATAGAAAAAATACATAGTAAAATTAATTTATTATAAATATAATTATATTTTTAAAAATAATATAGATCGGAGATGGAGAAACCCAAAACCCAGTGGAGACGAGGATTTAAT